GAGGGAAGTTTACATCCCAGAACCACCTCAGAAACGGATAATCAAATCTTTCTGTTCAATGTCGTTACTTGTGCCTCATTGCCATGGAGATGAGCTCCACCATGTGATGTGGCCACACAGAATGGCCGTGTGGGTAAACAGAGCCTGACACAATTGGCCTTTAAATCATGAATCACTTCCCTAGCAAACTGAGTCAAGTCATTTGGGCTGCAACGAAACTGGGAGATCTGCTGTGGACCTGGTGCTTTTGGGGAATTTGCTAAAATAATGCATTGATATTGATCAAGTCTAAAGTATTTTGTTTCTGAGATAACTGAACTTATGAAAAAAAAGGTAAGCATTGAGTTAAAATCTTTTTGTCGGTAATTTGAAGTGTTGAAAGGATGTTGTTTGACAGTTTTGAGTTCTAGGTATAAATAGTGTGTGTATTGTTGCTTTGTGTATTTGTCTCAGTTAAAGTGGTAGCAGTAGGGAAAAAGTTTAATCCCTCACTCTGATTTAGAATGACAGCTGATTTGATTTAGAGGCAATTGAGTCTTCTGCTTCAGGCAAAACACTTTTTTTCACCCTCAACAATCACTAATCATTTGTTTAAATAGAAGGGGCAATTTTGTGTCGACATGAAGCATGAGCTCAGTCTTTTACATTTGAAAGCTAAGGACACTTTTAAATACTTGTACAAGCAGCTTGTTTGACATTTGTGTACCTTGGTATAACATGAAACCAGTGTCAGTTGTTTGTTAGAGGTTTAAACAAAATATATAGTTAAGATTTTTAAAAATGTTTTTGAATAAATGAAAAATGTTTAATATGATTTTTTTAATATTAATTAAATCTTTTGTTTTCACCACACACTCAAATAAATACATTTAATGTATTTTTTTATATATAGTAATCAATTTTTGTACATTTTAATTTACATGATCAGTCTAGACAGTATATGGTATCAAACTATTATTGTCAATAAAAGCAACAGAATTACCTACTGCTGAAACCCGCACACATTATCAGAAGGGCAGAGATTGTGGTCCTATAATGCATTTTGAAAGCATATATAATCTGTGAACTTCCTAAGCAATGGTTTTCTGTTAAAATGCATTGATTTTTAACAGTGTGTGTGAGCTGAAATATTTAATATTTAAAAAAAACTTTTTGTAAAATGCATAAATAGTTTAGAAAATAAATCCTTCAGTTTTTTATGCATTTTTAAACGCAATTTAAAGTTGAATTTGGGTCTTTAAGAAACGTTTCTTATTCTTATATAATTTTAAAGTAGGCTGTATATAGTTAATATTATAGGCTATTAATCTAAATTATATGCTGTACTAATTAATTCTGTACACTATTTGGTTTATTAAACTATATTTGAAATTAAAATACACGTTTAAAGAAATTAATGAACTTAATACTCTCAACATTTCTTTTGATTAATTTATGTCCTTGCTAAACAAAATTTCTAAAATTAATAAAAACTACATTAAATCATTATTCTGCTCATGATGTCTGTTATGTGACATGACTCTGTGTACATATGCAGGTTTTCTTAACCTATAATGTTTTGAAAAAAAACAAGAAAACTATTGTATGATGTCAGATGTTGTTGTATTTACAGTGTTATTTTTAAACTTTTTTTTTTCAAATCTCCTGTAGCTCAAACTTCTATTGTTTTAATCATCTGTGTAAATATATGGGGCTACACTAAATGAGTGATTTAACAGGCCATTTTCACATCTGTGATTTAAAGTGTCAAGATTAACAAAAACAAGCAATTACGAGAGTGAGTATTGGACTATGAGATAATTATAGACACAATTTCCACCATCACATCATAGTGGAAAACTATGAGTTATGGTTACTACCTTTGAATTATGGAAACGGATCATATTATTAACTTGGCTATGAATAGATACAGCCGTAGGCTGTAGGTGACCTGGCAAAACCAAGCCACAATCATCAACACAGTGTTTTTTTCTCTCTCTTGCTCTATATATTTGTGTGCTCATGCGATGTAATGTTAGTATTATTGCTGATAGATCGCCATTGAATGTTGTTTCGTAAAAGTGTCATCAGTATAAACCTAGCTTGAATAGAAAATTTGTCAGTAAAGGAGAGGTTAATAAAATTTTAATGTGCTAACATTCAAATATTTGGGATCAGAATTATGTATTATTATTATTATTATTATTATTATTATTATTATTATTATTATGGAAGAAGAAATACACTTAAAATTGAAATCATGCACTAATCAAAAGTGAGTAGATGTTTTAAAATTTTTATTACATTTGTTTTAAATAGTTATTTCATTTGATCTTTGTTTTTTTGCATGTCACCCAAAATATTGCAGTATTCCACAGCAAGGCAACACATTAGGAAACACAGATAATAATGTTATAGTTTTTCAGCACGTAAAAAAAACCCACTCTAATAAAAAAAATAAAAAATTGGCCTAACAATTAGCATACTGGCAGAATTGCTGAACTAATTTTACTCCAGCTGAATCCACCAAGTCCTTATATAACCTCAATGACTGTCCCAGCTTTAACTACAAACACTGTCTGAGTGCACTTGTGTGGCTTTGGCTTTGGCTTAGGACAGCCCAGAGACAAAACAGACACTTGGCTTTTTAGGAAATGCATGCAACGTCTATTGACAAAGACAATATAAGTTGAGAATTTCCAGGGGAACAGCATGTACTAAATTTTTAATGGTCTTCTGCTTTTGGTTTAAGTAAGTCATCCTTCGCTACTTGTCTTCATTTTATAACTGCATTTCACATTTCGTGTTTACATCATGTACCTCGCCACCTTTAATCGACCTCGGTTCTGCTTGATTACTCTAAATGGCAACCCATCATGGCAATTGGTCCCTATGTATTTTGGTGCCTTTAATCTTTGCCTCATGCCGGTTCTTCTCTGCTGCCATGGCGACACCCTGGCGAGAACCATAGTGACGGGCAACTTGCTCTTATCTTCCAAAATGCAGAGTGACAGAGTGGGATTCTGGGATGCATCTCCAGTGCAGGCCTGCTTTAGACCCTCTCGGCTAAAAGCGTCACCATTGCTCTTCCCAATGAGCTTAACAGGTCTACTCTAACATTAGCGCTAATGCTGTAATTAAGCTCCGAGTGTTTACTTGGCCACAGGTCATTTCACACCTAGCTTTGACTACGATGAAGCCCTGCAGATACATGCTCCTATCTGTTTCTCACAGTCTTCTCGATTGTTTGCGTTTGTAGAGTTGAAGGGTTCAGGATCTACCATTTTTAATGATTATTTTATAATGTTTTGACATCCATGGATTCCATCATTTTGCATTAAAAATTAAAATAATAGTTTTGACTAATTTCTGTCCTGTTTGGACGCCCATCACAACACACTGCTTGAGTTGGAGTGGCAGATTGGGGACTCTGAGTTAAACACACACTGGTGTGATTGGCTAACAGTTATGCTTAATAAAAAATGTCAACATTTTGCTTTTTAATTTAATTCCTAAATTGGAAAGGACAGCTATTGTAAACTTCTGCATGTGTGTTGGACATCCTGGACCGTTCATACACTGCTGTATATTACTTTTATTATCCGACTATCTCTAATGACAAAGCAATGGTTTCTACTTACAAAAATGAAAGCTATTAACGTTACTATGAAACTGCATCATATTTCTTTCGGTCACTGTGAAAATCCAAGATCGAATTGTGCCTTGTAAACAAATGAGCTGAGCAAAGGACCAAGTTATTGCTGATGTAGTCTGGAAATTCATTATTTATAAAGTTTATTCACACTTTCATGTTGCTGGGATCAGAATGAAGACAATGCTTAAACTGTGTTTAGCACTGCACATTGTCTTATTGTCTTCAGAGCAATGTTATCATTTGGTTTCTGCACATACATGCATTTTCAACTTAACAGACAAAGTAAATCTTTTCAGTTTGATGAATTAGGTGTGTTTACATCTAATTGTTAGAGTGGCTGACTGTAGTATTGGTAAACTAGAAACCGACCGTAAACAATGCATGCAAAATCCGCTTGTTAAGTGTGACGTCACGCAAAGCGGCTGCCTGGTCTAAGCGCCATATCAAATTGTATGGGGAGGCTCAACAAATGGGAATAGTAAACGTTTACACAGCGATGTATTACTTTCAAAATGGTATCTGTGATGCATCAAGTTACACCAATGCACCATGATTTTTTATAAAATTCACTTTAATGTGTGATATGACTAAAAAGGGGTCATAAACAAATATTTTCTCAACTCAAATGAGTAGTTGCTTGGAAGTGTAATCATTTCATACGTCACTGATACGTCACGACTTAAATGCATGGAGACAGCTGATTAGTCAAATGGGTGTATTTCTTGCTACGTCAAAGTTTCAGCAAATTAAATTAAGAGTTCCATCTCCAATTATTCACATTAGCACTTTTTGGGTTCCAAAAACCACCTTAAGTGAAAGTAAAATCATTTGGTGTAGGGTTTAAGAGTTTTTTATTTACAATGTGGCATTTTTGGAAACCCAGCTAGTGAGGTAAAAGAAATTGTTGATCATTATTTGAGGCAGAGGAGGAGTTTAGATGCACGATTGCATAAAGTGGCGCATTCAACAAATTGTTGTTTTGACAATAGGCTTAAATTTAGGTTGTCACTAAATCCAGAAAGTTTTACACAGAGCATGCTTTTACAGAACAGTGATCTCTTATATTTCAAAAGATTTTTCTGTTCATGACCCACCCTTTAAAACAGCCATATTTATATTCTTGGTTCTGTACATATTTATTTTTTTGGCCTGATTGCCCCTCCTCTCTTTCTCTCCATCTCTGTCTGTCTTTCTCTCTGTCTCTCTCTCTCTCTCTCTCTCTCTCTCTCTCTCTCTCTCTCTCTCTCTCTCTCTCTCTCTCTCTCTCTCTCTCTCTCTCTCTCTCTCTCTCTCTCTCTCTCTCTCTCTCTCTCTCTCTCTCTCTCTCTCTCTCTCTCTCTCTCTCTCTCTCTCTCTCTCTGTGTAGGTGGGAAATCCTCGCGTGGAGCTCACTCTCTCAGAACTGCAGGAGATGGCCACTCGTCAGCAACAGCAAATCGAGGCCCAGCAACAGATGCTTGTCGCTAAGGTAACACGCTCAGATGTGTTCCTTTGATGGAAATCTTTTTATAGATCTTTGTTTTCGTCTGTTAGGGGGACGAGACATAATTTATTTTTATTGCTGTTGAATCTTTTTTATTGCTGTTGAATCTAACATGGGTGTGATTTATTTGACTCTTTTTCGAAATGACGTTTGTATTTTTATTTTAATAATTTTGTTGAGGTTGAACATCGTTTTCTTTGATCCTTAGAAAAAGAGGCCTTTTTAAAAAATATTTTGGTCGCTTTAAGGTGGAAAATTGGCAAATAAACATGTTTTTTTTCTGAATTTATTGGTGAACATTTGTTCTAGCTAGGATTTACTTGATGTGCAATGTACATCTAGCTAGCTGGTGAATGATGAGATGATATTTTTGGGGAAGTACCATGTGGTGTTGTTTTTTTTTTGTATATTTTGGCTTTAAATTTTAGTTTGGATACTAAATTTCCATGAGTATTCGAGTTTCTAGGTTATTAGTAAAATGTAAGCCATTTTTGTTGTTGTTGTTTCCTTTGGCTGGTAAAACTAAGTTGGCAGTAATTCACTGAAGTTAAAATGGTTTAATGTCTGTTTTGATTTATCTCTTTTGGCTTTGTTTTTTAGATAGAATGTAAAATAATCTGGAGTATTTGTTTGGTTGTGAATCAGCTGCCAGCAAATGTTCAACGATTATACTAATTATACTAATAAAAGGATAGCAAAATTATTTATTTTTATCTTGAAGTGTCAGGCATTTGAAGCCCTCTGCATTGTGATTTTCTTGCAAATAATAACTAACATATAGACAAATTTATCCCCGACAGGAATGAGCATTTATTTGAACTCCATGGTGGTATTTACAGGAAATTAGAAAAATAATTGAAGCTTTTCATTATTTATTGTATTCTTTATTCTCCTAGCAGCTTTATACCTGTGTGATATCAGGCTATTACAATTAGGCAAAGGACGATAACAGTTTTCAAGGTGTACTGCGTTTTTTTTTTTTTGTTTTTTGTTTTTTAGGATGACAGTATCTCCAGCAGAAAAGATCTCAAAAGATGCCATTTTAAATTGTAAAGAAATCTGTGTTTTACAAACTAATGTGGCAGCAGAAGTCACAAGCTATGTTTTCATCCAAAAATCCGTCTAAACTTTATGTGCAAAACTGGAATTTTACATAAAAGATGTGCAAATAAAGCAGCGTTTTTATTCAACGATTCAAAATCGTCACTTCCTGATTGTCTGGCGCCAAATATCAGCAGTAAAAACAGAATTTGCTGCGAGAAGAGAAGCTGCATGAATCTTTTCTTCATTGAATAAATGACTTGCGCCTCAGAAGGAAGTCCTGCCACTCATTGAATGCGTGGTGGCATTTGAAGGCGTGAGATGTGGAGCATATGCTCTTGATTTAGAATGATCAAAACATTTCAGTGCTCAGCCTGCTGATTTATCCATTCCCACACATTTTCATCAGCACATGATCTCTTATAACAAAATTACATGACCTTTTTTAATGTGCATACTGGAATTTATTCGGTAAAAGTGTTTCCATCGTAGTTTATGTGCATCTTTTCTTATCGAATAAAAAGTTTATCCTATTCAGATATGCGCATGTTTCTTTATGCGCATTTTCTAAATTCATGTGCATTTTCGCCTTTCCATCAACCGGTTTTTTATGCGCACATCCAAAATACACATAGGTGGATGGACACGAAGCTAATGATTCATTTGAATTATTTAGCCTGACATGTTTACTGTTACAAAATATCTTAAATGTTTATCAAAATTAAATGTATTGTGCTCAAAGAGGGGGGAAAGGGAATGTTTTTAATCAAACATTTAAAAAGAACATATTTTAGAGTAATCACAATACTGTGAAACCATGATATTATCCAAGGTTATCATAGCGTCAGAATCTTATACCGTCCCATGCCTACCTACAGTAAATGCGGAATGGTGTGATCTCATCTTTAAGAAAGATACTGGACTAATATTTAGAAGCACTAGCTTTGGCTTTAATTATCATATATAATGTAAAGTACCCAGAGTACATTTGTGCACTTCAAATGTTTTTTTTTTATTAAGAAATGTACCATGGTGATTATACATTTAATAGTTTAAGCTAGCAGGGAATTAAAGTTGTTAAAAGGTTCACTATTTATTCAGTAAATGTAACTGGAGGTCATTGTTTCCAACCCTGCTTCTGCAGACAAACCAACAGCACACATTTTTGTAATTCTCTCTTGGCTGACCCATATATTTCTGTTCTAAGAGCCTCTACTAACAAGGTGATGAATTGAATCAGGTGTGCTTAATTAGAACGAATGTGTGGTGTTGGTGTGCCTCCAAATATAGAGTTGGAAAACACTGCTATAGATGGTAGAAACACAAGAATATAGGCTTATGAAAAGTGAAAGAGCTGTTGACAACCGAAAAAGGTGTCATCTAGTGGTGATTTAATTCATACTGCCATTTCTGTGTTTACTCATGATTGCACCTCGTCCTGCCAAAACCAATAATTTTCTCAATCTTTGCACAGGCTTTCTGTGTGTGAAAGATATTTGCCCGCTGTCATTTATAAATAAGCTTCTATAAACATGAACAGAACTTATTGTGTGATCTTTAACTAATGTGTATGGTCTTGATATGTTGTGCAGATAAATGTAATTATAACATTTTCCGCTGAAAACTTTGGTATTGAATGTATAAAGTATCTCTGTAATTATTCACAACAGCTGCTTGTTGGGTAAACCTTTAACTTTGTGTATGAAGCAGCTCTAAGCTCTTAATTATTACTGCACAATATTGTCATTTAGATGTTTAGAGTCACTGACCTCATGTTTGTTTTCCTCAGTGCCATTTATAGGTCATTACAGCAGGTTGTTGTGACCAGTATAGGGCTGTTAGTCATGGGAACCACAGACTGAGGAGATAAAACCGAATGAGCCCGAAAATGCCAATTATGTCGCAAGCAACTCTGACATGTTTTGAGTGCGCTAGCGGGCATTTCTCTTCCACACTAGTGTTAAATAGCATCATTTCTTCATTCGACAAAGAGCGGCGTGTGAAATCTGAAACTGGTCACACTTACAGACTGTTAAGTATTAGAGCTGTTCGCATTATTATCGCTGTGAATCAATGTGCTGTGATGACTCCGAGCCTCCAGTCATTGAAAGTCCACCGTGTGCTATTTTTAGTTTTCTCACTCACTCAGAGACACTGTTTCCATTTCACTGCATCAGTTTGTGTTCCCTGCAGACGGATAAAGAAATGATGGGGGAAAAAAGAGACTAATTGCTTTTTATTTTCTCTTAGTTACTCAATAAGTCAACGCTGCAAACAGCATTTTTTTCCCCCAAGGAAGTACTACTTCTGCTAAATAGCAAATGTCTTTTCTCTTGACACTGACAGTAAGTCAATAGGTTGTCTGTCTTGATTAAATGTCATATCGTGATGTAAGGACAAAATTGTATGGTGTTGTCCTGAATGCACTTTGCTCTGTCAGGGCACTGCTGATGCCCCGGGCCGAAACAGGCTGTGCTTTGCTGAAGTATTAGCAATGACCTAACATGTTTTTCATAGGTAAAGCCAATAAGAGGCACTACCTGGTGATTTTAGAGTAAATTAGATAAAAAGATGGCATACCATTTTAATGTTGTAATGTCTTTGGCCCATGAACATTTCCTGCTTGTTGTCAAACTATTTCAAAACTTTAACGAGCCAATTTAATTTGGATCTTTTTGGATTATTAAAAAATAAAAATGTTAAACAGGAAATACTTAAGGACCATTGTTAATGTTTACATCCCTCAAAATGGTCTGTAGGCCGTCTTTTACTCATTCCCAACTTGTTTCAAACATATTTGAGTTTATTTTTTTCTGCTGAACACTATAAGAAGTTATTTTTGAAGAATATTGGAAAATGGTAGTTATTGACTTTTCATTGGTAGCCACTGGCTTATCACTGAAATTGACTTTATTACTTTCATGCATCATTTCCACAAAGCCGTGTGGTTCAGTACACTACAGTAAAGCATCCATTTGCTCTGCCAATAGAACTCTTTTTGGTAAGTGTTGGTGTACACCAGAATGTTGCGATCAGAATCATTCTTGCTAAAAAAAAATTAAATAAATAATAATAATAATAAATAATGGGAGATGGATGATAACAACATTTGCTGAATAAACTGATTTTGTGAAGGTTATGCTTACTAAATCACCCGCTTCACTTTTCTTGTTTACAGTTGGTTATTGGGGTAATCATTACTAGTCAGTTGCACTAAAAATGAATGAAAATGCACCTAGTTCACACTTGTTTTTTTGTTTTTTTTTTAACTTTGAAAAGAAAGCTTTCACTTTATGATGAAGTCATCATATGATAGATGTAGAGTGGTTTAAAACGAACAAACGATTAGCTTACTGTTTCTGTTTGATGCATGTTTTTTAGGGATGAAACGAATCACGGTTGATCCGTGATTCGTATGGATCACAACTCATGGTTCGGAACACTTCTGACCTGCAGATTAATGTTTTTTTTACTTGTAGATTAATCCTAAATTTACAATGATCACAGAGAGATTGCCTGTATGTATAAAAAAAAAGCAGGCTTTCCTGTAAAATATAATGATGACAGAAAATGTTGTGGTAGGTTATTGGGCATGTAGTGGGTTTCTTAGGTCTTATATTAAGGTGTTTTCTCTCACTACTGGTTTAGCCTGCATTCAGTGTAAGCTGCACAGTTAGTCATTAAAATATCTGAATCTTAACAACAATGCAACATAAATTATGAATGATGGTGATTTGCTTACGTTTATTACTTTTTCGAATTGCTGCATTCAAATCTGTGTTTGAAAAATGCAACAATCAAGAAAGAGATTCAGTCTTTACTTTTTTGAGTTAATTATAAAGTTACAAACAGTCAAATGACACAGCAGTACTGTGATAACAGTTTATAGTTTAGATAAAACCCCTGATGTTTATGGTAAAGATTAAAATCAGTCAAATGCTCTGAAAGTTGCAGGCTGTGATTACATTATTCAACCAATAGTTGGCGACAACCAGCCATCAAAATATGGACCTGAATAATTTTTCAAAAATGATCCATCTATTAATGAAACATGAAGTATATGAGTGAATAACTGAATCATTTATTAAAAATGAGACTAAATTAATATGGGTTGTACAAATAATGTTAGATTTATACATTTAGCATTATCAGCAACAGTAGTAGTAACAGTGAATTTTTTACAAGGCTGAATATTTTACCATTTATTTTATTTGGCTGATTATTTCTTCATTTTATTTATAATAACGTTACAACTTCTAAGTTCTGTTTGTTAAAACCAAAAGTTTCTTGCAGTACTGTTTTGTAATAAATGAAAAGCAAATTACATTGATCTCCTCTCCTTTTTGGCTGTTCAGAAAAATGGTCCGATCTGTAACTAAAGAACCAGAACATGAGCTGAACTGTGAGATTAGTAATTTATTACACCCCTAATGTTTTTCCAATTTTTTTTTTCGCTAATTGATGTACTGTATGTATTTGCTTTTCCACAGGAGCAGCGGTTGCGCTATCTTAAGCAGCAGGAGAGACGGCAGCAGCAGGCCGTGTCTGAGACAGAGAAACTGCAGAGGCTGAAGGAGAGAGTGGAGAGTCAGGAAGCCAAACTCAAGAAGATCCGTGCCATGAGGGGCCAAGTAGACTACAGCAAAGTCATCAATGGCAACCTGTGTATGTAGTTGCTTGACTCCATCCAAGTAGATAAGTTGCAGCCCACTTCTTGCTGTTATGATGCATGTTTGACCTTTGCGTGCTGCATTAAGCCAAGTGGTTTGTGTGAGAGAGCACTGGGCTTCCAGCTACAACAGGGATCACACGCGCACATGACGTACAGTCAGGATTAAGACCGTTGAAATCTCGCATCATGCCAACTCTTTAGACACACGCAACTCCAGAAGGGATTTTCATCTCATCTGGAGATTAAAATGAGATTTTTGTGGATTGTTATTTGTATTTAATTGCAGGATGGTGAAGAAATCCTGCTCATAAAACTGTTTTCTTTAGTTTTAACTTCAAGTTTGGTGGTTTGTTTATGTAGTGCTAGAGCAGTTGTTCCAGAGGACCCACTACATATTTAGTACGTTTCTTAAAAAATATTCTTCTCACATGTTCTCTGTATCGTCATTACTCTAGTATTTGTCTAAAAATGTGTTGTTTTAGTAGAACTTTTTGTCAGAATTGCTTCTTTATTGATGAGTCATATTTGTGAGTATGATACGACTAAGTGTTTATTTAACACAGTGGTGTAAAAAAAAAGTCAAATTACTGAAATTGAGTAGTTTTTCTCAGTAATTGTACTTTGCGAAGTAGTTTAAAAATGTACTTTTGCTTGTGTGTTTTTAGTGCTGTATCGCTACTTTGATTGCACTATTTTCCTTTAAACTGCAGTCACTACATTATTTTTTTTGTCTACAATTGGCTATGTTGAATAATAATTCCTATTCAATCAAAAGAAGTAGAATGCCTACTGTATGACTACTTAAACAATAGCTAAATGCACTACAGAATGTTGCGTTTTCAAATTCATATTCAAGTGAATCAGTGCTGCATGAGATTGGTTTGCGGCACCAACTGCAGGACAGTCGTAGTTTGTTAGTCAGGGTTCAAAGTGTATAAGCCTTAACATTGCCACAGCTATATTTTTCCTCTTTAAGAAACACAGATTTCGCTCTGCATATAAACGCATCAACCTTTTTCTGTCAGCTTATTATATGTGCATGCATAAATGTAATATGTTCTCTCATGAAATTAATCCCACATTTCAAATGTATAGTCTATGAATAGCTTATAATTTAACTTGCGCTTAGAGACGCCGTTTAATATAATTGACTTTGATGTAAGCTACCTTTTTAATTTGTATGGTGTAAGGTGGAGTAATTTTTACATACTCGCTACTCAAAAGGGCTACTTTTACTGAAACTTTTAGTATTTAAAACAGATACTTGTAATGGCACTACATTTTAATGGTTGTAATGGTAATAATTTTTTTACTTTCAGTACTCTTTCCACACCCGATTTAGCTCACGATTCAGTTAATGTACAATGTGTTTCCCGGACTGGGGTTTTGAACCAGTGTTGTCAGAATTTAGGAAAAAGAAATATGGTTGGCAAATTGTAAAAACAAAACAAGTCAGATGAACCTACGTATTTTGCATTTTGCATGAGCTCCTGAACGACATTTAAATCCTTGCATAATATTTTTAGTAACAATTAAATAATAATCCTATAGTAATGGAGAAAGCATGTTGGATCATATAGTTGCACGAATGTGTTTAACATTGCTTTTGTCTGCTAGCCGCAGAGATCGAGCACATCAGTGGGCTCTTCCAGGAGAAGCAGGCAGAGCTGCAGGCAGCCGTCCTGAGGGTGGATCAGCTCAGTCAGCAGCTGGAAGACCTGAGAAGAGGCAAAATGAATGGCCTGCAGACCCTCGGGGGTCAGGTGACCGGCACTGCTGCTCTGGAGCTCCGCAAACTCTACCAGGAGCTGCAGGTACTGCCACACATCTGATGGAAGAGATTGTTCAATGCTACGTTTCGGTCTATATCAACCTTCCTTTAAAAAACTTGTACTTGCTGTACTTGTACTTGTGTATTGCCGCTTCTTGTTGAATCGCTGAATGCCTCTTCTACTGTATGTCGCTTTGGACAAGATTGTTTGCTAAATGTAAATGTAAGCCTTTGGTCATATTGGTTTTAATAGAGGGCACTTTCCAAAAGTAGAGTGTTTGTAAAATTTATCAACAAATTGTAAGTGAAAGAGATTGATTCAGGTTTAAGGACATGATCAGTTTATCAGCCAAGTATTATTAACTATTCTTTCTGTATTGTTCTATATTGTGTGTATCCTGTTAATATAAATAATTTGAAAATAATAATAATGATGTTAATTTATACTAGCAATCATTTTAAATAGTGCATAAAAACACAGTTTAAAATGTATTTACAGCAATGATTGTTGCTTAAAACTTTACTGAATTTATGCATTTATCTTGTATAGACTGTTCAGGGACTTAAGCATAGATCTTGATTGATTATTATTCTGCCTATCTATTTCTGCCTGTCATTTCTTGCAGCAATGTTGTTTATTTTTCCTGTTCATCTCCTTCAGATTCGCAATAAGCTGAATCAGGAGCAGAACAGTAAGCTTCAGCAGCAGAAAGAGCTGTTGAATAAGAGAAACATGGAGGTGACACTGATGGACAAGCGTATCAATGAGCTCAGAGATCGACTTTACAAGAGAAAAGCTGAGGCACGTCAAAAGGAAAACCTTCCAGTAAGACCAGGGCTGCATCACTTGCTCATGATTTTTAGTCTTTATTTATTTATTTATTTATTTATTTATTTACTTACTTATTTATTTATTTATTTATTTATTTATTTAATATTTTTTAACCATTCTAGATATTTATATACTATATTTATATGTAGGACATTGAAGTAAGCTCATCATTTGTGTTTTGTTTCCTTATTGACATGTGTTCCTCTTTTATTTTCCTTTCCTGCAGCTGAATAGAGTAAACGGCCCTCCCTCTCCACAACCGGTCCCCGGAAACACTGGCCGTGTTGCTGCTGTGGGACCCTATATCCAGGTTCCTGTGCCAGGCAGGCAGGAGGGTTATGCTGTGCCGCCTGAACCCCTCAAACCTCAGTCACTTGGGGTCAACACCCAAGTCAACCATGCACGTTCAAAATCAGGTCAGTCCTTAAACACTGACTTATGCCATTTACACCAGACATTTACTTGCATTGAACTGCTGCCAAATAAATGGTACCCTTTACGTCTGGTTGTTTTTAGTTTTTGTAAGTCACTGTTAAAACTAATATATAAACTTTTATTAATATGTAAACTGAATATGAAGATGCTTTGATCACTTTTGATGAGTGGTAATCTGTGTTTAGGTCTTATACATCGGACTTCTGGTTACTAGCATATTGTCAGCATATTAGCACAAAGAAACGCTCTCTTAGCCTTAAGCAAACACCCACATTTAATTTTTAGGTTTAGCCAGCTATGATTGACCAAAAAAGTTGGCAACACTAAAATAATGGTAATATGTGTATTAAAGGTAAATAATACATGTTTTAAGGTTTTTGTTAACATTAATGTTATTTAAGTTAAATAGCATTAGTACATGCTAACTCACTGTACTTTATCTAATATTAACAAGCACACGTTTGGATTTTAATAATGCATTAGTTATTGTTAAACTATGATTAATAAATGCTCTTCAAGATTATTCATACTTGGTTAACGTTAGTAAATGCATTAATTATCCTGAATTAATTGTCTATTGTTCTAAAGTTTTGGCAAAAAGTTTTTCATAAAACTTAAATTTTTGAAAGATTTCTTCAGATTAGCTTATTTTATCCACCTGATACCTTATATATTTTGAGATAGACTATGTAACATCCAATCAGTTAGTTTGAAAGGGTGATTTCTGTCTAAAGTCGTAAGTATACTTCAGTTTTAATGCATGTAAAGTATATTCCACTGAAAAACTTGTGCATCCCCAACACTCAAAATTTTCAACTTGATAAAAGATTTAGAAATTTTCTAAACCTGAGAGCTCTTAGTTCACTTGTCTATTGTCGCCTTGTCATTTGTTGTTGGTTCTGTATGTGATTTCTCTGCCATCTTGTGGTCAAACTGATAATTGTCTAAAAGTAAAAAAAAAAAAAGTAATTACACTCTATACCAGAGGTTCCCAAACTTTTTAGTCTGAGAGCCCCAAAATAACAATTCTTTTGACCTGCTACCCCCACTATCGTTGAAGGTGGTTATAAACGTACAAAGATTGCACACAACGTGCACACACACCAGTAAGAACTATATAAACATGAGCATATTGACAACACAAAAAAGTGTGGCAGTCTAACAACCACAGCATTTTTTTTATAGTTATCATTCATTTGTTTAGGATATTTTGATTTGGAGATCATCTCCCATGTTTAGTTGTGGCCTATTTTTATGCATGTGAGTGCGTAAAGGTGTCAGAGTTTAACATTGTGCCGTAAAATCAATCTGATGCATCTGACTCTACTGCTGTGTCTTTAATATAACGTTAACAACCCAGGGGTTGCAATCCAATGGGAAAAAAAATCAAAAAAGGTTAAAAGCTTTTTATTTCTATGTTGTTTTTCATGTAAATATAAAATGCTATTTTATCTTCTTAAAGGCCCGTGCACACCCAGACGTTTTTTGCTTGCGTTTTCCGTCGAAGTTTACAGCCTCGTAACTAAAGTTAAGCTAACGTAACTACGTAACTAAAGTTAAGTCCATCAATGTGATCGTGCGTCCTAACACACAAAACGCCAGGCGCAAAAGCGTCATTTTTAAAAAACCGCCTCATGCTCATTTTTTTGTTTTGACATCCGGCATCAAAACCTTCTCCACCAATCAGATCGGCACTTTTGTTCACATGCACGGACCTGCTGAAGTTACCGTAAACAGCACTTGGAGGTGCTCAAGCACAAAACTGTCAATGCGAGCGCACATTGAAGAAGATGCCCAGAGTCGATATGAACGCGCAGCTGCTTATTGCTCTGGTAAACAAAAATAATTTCTTCATCGCTAGAGCAAGAGCTGCTGCTTGAACCATCCATGCTTGTTTGAGTCACCAGTAACTTTATAAACAAACATGTGAACTTCCTCTCCTCCTCTTCTTCTGTGTTATAAGCGGGTGTCAGAAGCTTAATGTTGTGCAGCACCATCTAACGTCAAAAGAGTGATTTAGCATACTCTTCTGCTTGACGCGAGTGAAAAGCGCTTGGGTTTGAACACAGAAAAACATCTCGTAAGCGCTGCCGATAAACGCAAACTAAAAATGTCCCGGTGTGTAGGAGCCTCAAGGATATGGATAAAATATAGTAATTCTAATAGTTTAATGATATATATATACATAGACTTTTGGATATCACCAAGCGACCTCTGTTCTTCGTCTCGCGACCCCCCCCCTTTGTAAACCACTGCTCTATATCAAAGGTCTCGAACTCAATTTCGGGAGGGCCGCAGCTCTGCACAGTTTTTCTCCAACTCTAATCAAACACAGCCAATCTAAGTGATCAATGTGTTCAAGACTACTAGAGACTACTACTACACTCTTATAGTAGTTCCTCGATTTAAATATCTTGTTTGTCATGGGGGGCATGCATGAAATGTTCCTGAATGAAAGTGAAAGTGCAAACTGCAGTTAAAGTTGACAAATTAATAATTTGGTAAATAATTTGATTATTGATGTCCTTGTAAACAGTCACTGTCTTTCTCCCCTGCGTCTGTGTTTGTTTTGCCTTCAGCGTGTGCCCAAACGGAAACTCCCATTTATATGCAAAACCTTCCCTCTTTCCGTCCCTTGACACTCCCACCTAAACAGAGCTGGACACACCCACTTTTTTCTAACTAGAGGTGTGAAAACACTCTGCTAAGACAGGGGGTGGTGTGAGTTGGAGGAAGTTAACTAAACTATGCAGTGCCAGGGCCCTCCAGGAATTGATTTTGAGACTATTGCTTGATGCTGATTGTAAGATTTGTGTCACGTGCACAACTTAGCATATGCTTTAAAACCGGAGTAAACTTTGGCCTTAATGCTCAGATTAAATGAGTTTTTAATAAAGTGATGCAGCATTCCTTTACAGAACATATAAGGCATCAGCAATGCCTATTTGAAGAGTATGAAAGCATGTGCATGATTTGGTACTTCTCTTAATGACCGTGGCATGTATCCCACCTCTTCTTACTGTGGGTTTCCCCTCTTCAGCGTATTTGTGAAGTTGATTTCTTGTTTTCTTCACTTCTAACCTCTTGTCCTTTCTGCTCTGTTGCTGTGCCTGTGTACGTGTGTGTCTTTTTTCTCTTTGCTGTCCATGTACTTTGATGTTGTGGGATTTGTGGGTAATTAGACGGAGTGAGAAAGCCCCCAGGCCCCTGGAAGGTCTCTGATTTAGACATCATAGTGGACCCCATTGCTCCACCCCCTCCAGAGCCCCGCCCAGGCCCTGGGGCTCCACCCCCTGCCACCTGCTCCGCTGCAGGGTCCGATGGCGCTTCTCGTGAGTGGGAAGGTGTCTAATGTGGAGGGCAGGAGGAACGGCCTTTGAACCTTATTCAGTGTAGTGAGCAGGATCAAAGCAGTCTGAATGACTGTACAAGAATAAAAGCAGAACACATCAAATACACAATGTCACACCAGTCAGATGTTTGTGAAGGAGCTGAAGATGCTGTTTTGGATCTTCATTAATTTGAAAAAACATGAATTTGAAATGAAGATCATGAATTTTTGAAGTTCATGCAGCTCAAGTGGGACTCAAAGGGGGACAAACCTGAGCTAAAACAATCTTAGGGTAATGTTAATTTTTAATTTTTTTACTCAATTCCTATGCCAAGAACATACACTATTCAACTGTTTTGGTTGGTAAGATTTTTTTATTTTTTATGCTTACCAAGGCTGGGTTTTATATTGAAAATGCAGTAAATATACTGTAATAATAGCATAAGAAAAACAGTACATATAGTGTAAAATTGCGAGCTATTCTTGTTATTATTTTGAACAGTTTTAAAATGTATATTAAAAGTGAATGCAAAGTTGATTTATTTCAATTCCTAGTGATTAATTCATTTCCAATATGCTGATTTGCTCACAAAGTATTTATCATATGCTATATTCCATGTCAGTTTTGATCAGATTATTGTGTTCATGCTAATTGAATACATTGGTTTAAGTCAGGGGTGTCCACACTCGGTCCTGGGGGGCCGGTGTTCCAGAGAGTTCAGCTCCTACACTAATCAAACACATGAACCAGCTAATTAAGCTCTTACTAGATGTACTACAAATATCCTGGCAGGTGTGTTAAAGCTGGTCGGAGCTAAACTCGGCAAGACACCGACCCTTCAGGACCAAGGTTTATGTTAAACCAATTGAGAAATCTTATTAACCGAAACTTGAATGGTAGTGAATTTTGTATTGGGTAAACTGATCACATTCAAAATGTCAATGTGATCGGATTTCAGATTTTTGGACTTTACGTGACTCAAATTGTGCATTTCTTACAGAGTTTATCCTTCAGTCTTCTAAACAATAGCCCCTTTCACACAGTAGCCCCTTTCACACATACAGACCTTTCCGGAAAATAGCCAGAACGAATTTACCGGTATTTTTAAAAAGGGCCTGTTCACACATACAACCTTTCCGGAAAATTGCCGGTAATTTTCCGGAAAGGTCTGTATGTGTGAAAGGGGCTAATAGCCCCTTTCACACAGTGATACCGGTAAATATCCGGAAAATTTACGGAACGACTTTACCGGTATATACAAAAAAGCGCTGTTCACACAGGCGAGGACGTTACGGAAATTTTCCGGAAAAGAGCATTCACACATCCATTCCAAAATACCGGTAAATTCTGACATCATTCACCACCAATGAGCTTTAAACGGCTGCGCTTGTATTTGTAAACATTTGACTAAATTACAGACTCTTTTGATGATCAATATTGTAAACAACTTTCACAGGATCATATTCGCATGTCGAGATGTTCATAATATGTGCGTCTGTAGGCGCTCACAGGCTGTTTCATGGGCACACGCAAAGCTTGAAGGTAAACAAACAACGGCTTATCATAAGCATCTTATCGATGATTATTTGCACAGTTGGCATTAAGGAGAACATATAAACGTGATATAAACGTGAAAAATATTCAAAGGCTTTTATTCTCACAAACCGCGCGGACGTAAATGCGTCTGACTGTTGTGATTGGCTAAAGCAGAAGTCTTACGTCAGCGCGTTCTAGACGTGCACGCGCTTATTCCGGAAATATTCCTTCTGCGTTCACACAGCGCAGCATTCCGGCAAATTGCCGGTAATGTTACAACTTCTCTTTCCGGAAAATAGCCAGAACGAATTTACCGGTATTTTCAAAAAGGGCCTGTTCACACATACAACCTTTCCGGAAAATTGCCGGTAATTTTCCGGAAAGGTCTGTATGTGTGAAAGGGGCTAATGAGAGTTGTTCAGTTACAGGTCCTGTGCATCTTTTAAAACCAGAGAGGGGGCAATTTTCTAGACCAAACATGGCTTTAGACAGAAGTCAAAATGGCAGGTTTTTGACTTGCAGTGGTATCTTTAATGATAGACTAGACTCCTCTGCCTGCTCAATTATACTCAATCTTCTTGATTTGCTCTTTACTGCAATTCAAAGAGTCAAAAGCTGCTGATCCTGTCTTTTAGGAATGTGTGTGTGTGTGTGTGTGTGTGTGTGTGTGTGTGTGTGTGTGTGTGTGTGTGTGTGTGTGTGTGTGTGTGTGTGTGTGTGTGTGTGTGTGTGTGTGTGTGTGTGTCTCTGTATGTGATTGTGTGTAAGAATGAAGTTGAGGTCGATGAAAGATCTCTGGAGTGAAAATGAATGTGTGTGCTGGCTTGAGATACTACCCGAATAAGGTTCACTGGGCTCTCTGCCTCATCCTCAGTACATTTAAACACACTAAATTACTGGTGTCCATTTCATCATCCTCTAACTTTCAGCTAACTTGACTTGAGCACAAAAATGTTCACACATAATACACTGTAGAGTGGTGGCTTAGTCAGTTTGCTTTACTCCTAACTCAGATCAGTCATATAGATCAGATTTCAAGCAAAATCATCAAGGTATCATTCGCTCAACTACATTGTAGAGCAGCATTATCTTGAAATGTAGTGTCATCCAAGCTGTTCTTGTAGATGTAAACTTACGTAAATCTCTGCATTCATAGCTGTTATACTTCATGTCTTTTAACTAAAGAACATAATTGGAAGTCATGTCTAATATATTAGCAATACAGTTTGCTATACTGCTCTAATAATAACTATGCTTGTGAAGAGCTCTGTCATGTCTAGTCTTGTGCTAAAGCTCCTTTTCTTTCCTTTTCCAGCAAATGATGCCGGTTGGCCTGCTCTTAATAAGAGCAACACGTCAGTCAAACCACCAGACTGGAAGGAGTCTGGAACGGACACGATCAGTAAAACCGCAGCACCCGCAGGTGCTCCTGCAGATAAGGTATATTGAGCTAACACCAGCATGCATACATGTATTGCTCTCTCATTATTTTACCACAATAAAATGCTTTATTGTGTCTTAAGATTCAGGATTCCAGCAAAATTGGTTCAGGTCCTCCTCCCAACAAGCCCCAACCTCCTCCATATGGAGCTCATACCAGCAACCACCCGCTCTCCTCTGCCAACTCTGGCTCCACCAGCTCTTTGGATCGCCGTAAGGATGTTCCTCTCCGGCCGGTGCCCAGCCTACCCAGTAACCCTCCACCGCCACCACCAGCCTGGCCACGTGTCCCGCCTGCACCCACCGGCTCATCCTCTCAACAGATCCAGCAGCGCATTTCTGTACCCCCAAGTCCAACCTTTCAGCCCAATCTACCCTTTTTCCCGCCTGGGGAGAGACCAGACCCTCCTCTGGCCGTAGCAGTGAGGCCGTTCATTCCAGATAAGGGTTCCAGACCACAGTCGCCACGAAAAGGCCCAGCCACCATGAACTCAAGCTCTATATACCACATGTACCTACAACAAGCAGCTCCCAAAAACTACCCTCTCAACATGAAGCCCGCAGTCAAAGCAGGTACACATTAGAAAAGCTTTCATTTCAGATTATAATCATTTACTGCTTGTACTGGCAGTTTGTGCTCTCTTCTCTTTGGGGTCTTTTTTTTTTTAACAGAGAATTGTGAGTTTGCTACCTCAGTCAAAATCACACAAAGATTTGTTCACTATAGCAATTAATAAAGGGTGTATAAATTCATACAGATTAACATATTTTTCACAAATTGCCTGTGTGAATAAATGAGGCCGGTCTCACTTTTGATATAATTCACAAATGCCTTCAAATCGCAAATGTTCACATTTAGAATTATTGCTGTCATAGCATTAAATTAATAATAAAACTTCTATAGCATCATATGGTACTTGAATAAAGCGCTATAAAAGTAAACTTGATGTAAATTAAATACAAGGATTTTTGATATGCAGCCAACCATTGAAAAATCCTCTCATTCAAACTCTAATCTACTCATTACAAAGAATGATCTATGCAGAAAATTATATTGGGTTAGAATTTAATTTAAAACTTTCTTGATAAAATTGTTGTGATTAGGAATATGTATTGACGCTAATTGACTGGCTGATACTGCTACTGCTTGCAAACACTAAAACTGTTTTTTTTTTTTTTTATCTGTCACATTAAGGCTTTATAATACAATGCATTTAATGCATTAAAAAGTGTACACTTAGGAGCAGAATTTTTTTTTTAAAAGTTAATTAAAAGATGAGAAAGCTGTTACATAACGTCAACAAGCTGTTGCATATAGTCAAATTTTACAGATTCAAGTAGAAAAGTATATTAATATCTTAACTAATATAATACCCTTTGTTATATTTTGATCTCTAAACATGTCTTTTTTTCTGATTTTGCCAACAGTCATGTTGGTCACAGGAAATGTAGCAGACATTTTACTTTACTTAAAAATCATGGTACACCTATGCAGATCAGAATGGTACAACCTCTGCTTCAATTTGAACCAGAAAATGGCCTTTTAATGTCTTTAAAGAAATCACAGTTAGGATTTTTGAATTATATTAAGATGTTAATTAAGAATCTCTAGATGCAACAAAACAGATTGATATACAGATGCCACATATTCCTTTTATGTTGACAGTGTCTTTAAGAAAGCACTGCTAAAGGCAAAAAAGGCTAAATATTATCAAAGAAACAGACAGCTTAGTCTTTTCTTCAGCTTAGTCTTTTTAATTCATCAGGAGTTGCCATAGAGTAATGAACCGCCAACTTATCCAGCATATGTTTTACGCAGTGGATTCTTTTTCCAGCTGTAATTCAGTACTAGGAAACATCCATTCACTCTCATTCACTCACATACACCAGGGCCAATTTGGTTTATTCAATTCACCTATACCACATGTTTTTGGACTGTGGGGGAAACCAGAGCACCCGGAGGAAACCCACGCAAACACGCGGAGAACTTGCAAACTCCACACAGAAATGCCAACTGCCTCCGCTAGGACTCAAACCACTGACCTTCTTGCTGTGAGGCAACAGTGCTTACAACTGAGCCTCCGTGTCACTCAGTTCCAAGAACATGTTCTGTGTAATGTTTTTTTCTTGACTGTCTTTTAATTCCTGAGTATGTTGTTGTTCATCTCTGCAGTGTATGGTAAGCCACTCCTGCCTCCCAGTTCGACGCCCCCCTCTCCCTTACCTTATGGGAGTTCAGGAGCTTTCCCTGCCCTTCAGGGACCCGGAGGAGACATGCTGGATTTTGAGCTGGACCTCGACGGTCAACTCATAGGCGTACCTGAACCACCTGCTCCCAGTGTGGACCACATCCCTCGACCCCTCAGCCCCACCAAACTCACACCCATGGTCCACTCACCCATGCGCTACCAGAGCGATGCCGAACTGGAGGTGTTGCGCAAGAAATTAGCCAATGCTCCACGGCCTCTTAAGAAACGCAGCTCAATTACGGAACCAGAAGGTCCCAATGGACCCAACATCCAGAAGCTTCTCTATCAGCGCTTCAACACCCTGGCTGGAGGGATGGAGGGAGGGATTGGTGGAGTGAGCGGACCTGGTGGAGTGACTCCATTCTACCAGCCTTCTGTCTCCACTGCTGAAATGATTTTTGATGTTGACAATGGTAATCCACCTTCAGAAATTCCAGCTGTGCCATCAGAGGGCGCTGTTGCTGAGGAAGTGGTCCTGCAAGGTGATGCCAACGATAATGAGCCCCCAGAAGAAGAGGCTGAGAGCATAAGCCCTCCAGCGCCAGAGCCATCAGAAGACAGTAACAATAATCCTGCTGAATCAATAGCCCTTTTGCCAAGTCCTGTAGCGGAGGCCAGCACTCCTGAAGAAGCAGACACATCTCTTTCATCACAGCCCACGGTCAGTCTGATCATTTATTTTAGGTTGCAGTTTATTTAGGTTTTATTTCCAGTGCTGAAAATGTGTTGGGATATTAGCAGTTATTTTAGTGTGTTTTTTTACAATTTTTATTTATGAAGCATATCTAAAACAACCAGTTGAAAAGTACGAAAGTAAAATTACTTACAGCAGTAATAATCATGAATTACTATTGTTAGTTTATTTTGATTTGTGTATTATCATTTCAATAGTCCTAAATTTTGTTACTATAAAGATACTGTTCAATTAATGCATTGTGTTATAATATGCAGTAAAAGATAAATGAGCAATATTGCAAGAGTAGCAGTGCGATATGGCTGTAAATCGGCACTGGTGGGAGGCATGTGCTGGCACAAGGCTGCAGACCAAGTGCCTTAGTGTCCCACAAGTGATGATATACAGTCATATTGCATTGCTTTGAGTGTGATATTGCGTTTATGCAACAGTTCGACAGAGTGGGCAACACAAAATACACACATTCCTGATATTTGAGTCCCATCTCACACTCAATACACTACAATTACGATGGTATAAATACAGCACTACAACATACAAAAGAGAGAGATCGACTTAGAAAGTCACTTACTGGTTTAATAATGTTTTGATCAGCTGTAGTTTAAAATTACGCATTTTTTGTCTTTTAAAGACTTAAGTGGTCTCTGTCACCATCTCGTGGATGAACAGCGTCCAACCGTTTTTGCACTGCTCCGTATGACAGGCTGATGGATGTTGATGCGATGTATCTCCAAAATGATAAATATTTAAAATAGGTACTATCCTTATAAATAAACTGCATAGATGCAATCTAAACAACTATAATTTAACCTAAAAAGCCTAAAAAGTACACTATGTTGTCCAACAGCTGCAATATGTCAAATTGTAGTGAGGTTATTGATCTGTCACTTTATGTGGGCGGAGTAATACAGAAGAGTGAGGAGGCTGAACGATTCCTGATATTGCAGAATATCGCACTGCTATCAGCCAATCAGATTCGAGAATCAGAAAGAACTGTTGTATAAATAGCATTTAGTAACTTTAACTAATAACTTAAGTCAAAATATTGTGTGTAATTCATATGTAGTATACTGCACTACAGTTCAAAATTTAATCCATTTCTTTGTTATATTTATACTGTAATTTAGCACGGTTGCATTATATTATTTAAATAGAACAATAAAAACATGTAAAATGCTACTGTACATTTCTATTTTAAATACTGTAACTGTTCTTTCATTACATTTTTATGCTGTTCAAAAAAATCTGAAAATGATATCAGCAATTTCACCTAATATATTAACCGTTTTCAACACTGAAAGTACATTTTGGAAGAGGACCTAAAGATTGGAGTAATGGCTGCAAAATTCAACCTTCTTTTACTGTATTTGATTATTTTTATGATTTTTATTAAATTAAGGCAGTCTTTGTAAGCAGTTCTTCAGAAAAATTCACCTCAATCTTCACCTTTAACAGACACAAACAGTGGCACAGTTTCTGTGTTTTTTTTTTGTTTTTATTTTTTGAGAAATCTGTATTTCCTGTATCAGGAAATCTTTATTAATTCCAGTAATATTATTGAATATGAAAATGTTTATGTGATTTATGTACAATACATTTTGCGAAGTGATATTTTCAGTCTTAGATATATAATGGTACATACAGAGCCCAGTATAATTAAGTACACCCTATTTTGAAAATGAATATTTGTATCCATTTTTCAGTAAACATAGGCAAGGTATTTTGGTGCATTTAAACAAAACAAATTTATTAAACAGATGTATTTATTCAAATAATATTTTAGTCACCATAAATATTTAGAAATTGAAAGATAATACAATTAAATTCAAGCAAAATATTGCAAAAAAAAAATACAAGCTACAAAAATTCAACTTCATTTTTCAGGTTTTTTTTGCTTCTCTTCATTTTTCTTCTTTTTTATTTATTTATTTATATTTAATATTTTTCTATAACATATAAGTTTGGGTGTACTAGTTTTTGGACCGTTATCGTAAGTTTATTTGTAAAGTTTTGAGTTACTATATTCTCAACATCATTCCATATAAATCCATATATATATATATATATATAGATGTGTGTGTGTGTGTGTGTGTGTGTTTTACAAAATATCAAAATATCGAAAAAGCAATATATTAAAAGCAGTATATTAGCAAAAAATGTCTACTAATATGATGTCTGCTTTTAGCCTGCTAATAATTCATGTCTTCAACAGGGCAAACGCACTAATCTAAAGAAGCCTGACTCTGAGCGGACAGGACACGGCCTCAGAGTGAAGTTCAACCCACTCGCTCTGCTGCTGGATGCCTCGCTGGAGGGCGAGTTTGACCTTGTACAGAGAATAATCTATGAGGTATGTATAGGCTTATTCTGTGTTTGTAAACAGCGATGGGCATATTTGGTGGGGGGAGCAGAGCTGGTGGCAGAAAATCACTTTGCAAAAAGAGCAGTACCAACAAACATCATGTAAACAGTTATAAGCAAGTATGTACAATGTTCTTTTGCAACATTCACATTGATTACAGCAAAGTGGTAATGAGAACATACATGAACGAGTATAAAACGTAATGTATTCACATAAATAACCAATGTTAGAACCTAAAATTCCAGATGACATCAGTCACTCAATAGCATATTAATAATCTTAAAGAGGTTTGATATGTATTAATTAGATTACAAGCCTACTTTGTGCTTTTGTCATGTCGTGTCACTTCCTCAATGACTCTATATTCTATAAATAAATAATTTAGAATATATTTTTTTTACATTTCTACTAGGAATGTGAGATTTGGGGAGAATATCTAATTGTGATTTATTTATTTTATTTTAATTCTTAGTTTTTAGATTTATTAAAAAAAATTTATACAGATATTGCGATTTAGATTTGATTTGTGATTTAATTTTTTAGGCAAGCTTCAGCTCGATATTCTATATCGTAGTTTCTTACTGCTTAAATGCATTGAGTGTTAGTTTTAAAAAAAGAACTGAAAAGATATTAACTAACTCCAACATTTATTCAAAGTTGTTTATAAATATTCAAAAAAATGAAACACTTATTTTTCTCTAGAGCAAACGGTAATGAGTTATGGTATTAGTTATCTCCTGGTGCCTTCGTGATGTTTTTTCATGATATAGATCAGTTGCAAACAACTCTGAAATTGTACTTTGCTGTTGCTAGCTACCAGATTGAGTGTCACTGGCCGTACTTTTGGTTGACTTTTTAGCAAGACACCCCTCATATAGCCTGTGGTGCTTTTTTTTTTAGGTGCTGGTTGTTGGATTTCCTAGTGCTGGCAACAATTCGGCAACAGCTCTTACAAATGGCCTGTTTTTGTTCGGTGTCTGTGACTTTGAAACCAAAATAATCCCATATTACAAACATGCTGTTTTTTTTTATATTAATTCGTCTGTTAATGCTTCTAATGCGGCAGACATCATCATCCCACTTGTCCGCAATTTCATGTTTGTTTGTTTTATTGTGGGTTTACTTAATAGATTGGTTGCACAATTCTGATTGGGTAGAACAAAAGTGTGCTCACTCAATTGGCTAGTTAGACTGTCAAACACAGACAGTAGTCAAGCATTTGCTTTGAGTGGGGGAAATTATACGATACATATATATATTTCATATCACAGCTAATTCATATTAGCTAATCGCAACTTTTCTAATAGCGATTGTATTTAGATTTCGATTAATCGCACAGCCCTGATTCCTACTCTGACATACAACAGCACAAGAATACATTTTGGGGGTTGACTAGATTCAATCACAGATGTTTTGTTTCCACTGTTTTTTTGAAGCAATCACAATGTTGACTCCAAGTGTTTCTATATTTACATGGTGTAGTGAACTATTCTAACACGCTAGTTAATTTTGATAGATTTTTATTAACCATTTTGTGTTTAATTTCTATAATTTCACAGGTCGACAATCCCAGCACTGCTAACGATGAGGGCATCACACCTCTTCATAACGCTGTGTGTGCTGGACACCACCATATCGTCAAGTTTCTTCTGGACTTCGGTGTTAATGTGAACGCATCAGACAGTGATGGCTGGTAAGGACACTGTGAAAGAGATCGATCAGTCGGTTCTAATTAACAGGCATTCAGGAGATTGACTCCCTGATTTATGTGTGTAGGACGCCCTTGCACTGTGCCGCCTCCTGCAACAGTGTACACCTGTGTAAGCTGCTGGTGGAGTCTGGCGCAGCTATTTTTGCCACCACCATCAGTGATGTGGAGACGGCAGCAGACAAATGCGAGGAGATGGAGGAGGGCTACATACAGTGCTCGCAGTTTCTCTATGGTGAGAAGATTTTTGCTTTTCCTTTGTGAAGTAGAGATGTGTTGTAATATAGCTGTTTTGTTTTCTTTTCAAGTCCACTTGAACTGGAAGCTGCTTTATATATATATATATATATATATATATATATATATATATATATATATATATATATATATATATATATTGTGACGCAGTTCCTAGAGAAACGGAATATTAAATGACCAAACAGTGGGCGTGGCTTGTTTTATCTACTGTGAGCTGATTGGATGTAGTAAAGTAGGCATTTGATTCAGACAGATTGGGAAAAGGGTTTTCAGAGATTTATTACAACCTAACAGATTCCTCCTTCTCACCATTTCTGTTTGTTGTCAAAACTGACAGTTGGAGCAGCCTAGTTAAATATGTCAGACACTTTCAATTCCGAAGATATACGTAATCTTACAAATTACTGATGAAACAAACAGGAAGTGCATTTTCAGATTTCAATTAAATACTACACAGGCTAACAATTTTTTTTTATAACATGCACAGATGAATTGTTCACCACAAAACTAGCAATGTGAGCTAACAAGATCATATGATTAGTTTTGACTTCATGGGGGCTTAAACTACGTGTAAATTGGCAGTATCAAGTATATCTCACATTTAAAAAATAAATAAATAAAGCAAAGATGTTTTTGTATGCAAAGATGTTTTGTGCATTCACGATCATGAAAAAGCCACTTTGAATGAGTTTACCAGCACTTACAATTTAGAGGGTGTCTACGAGGTTTAGTCTTAAATTGCTAAAGCTAAATTTTAGGCCTTAAAAAGTCTTAAGTTTACCAAAAATTTTAAAGGTCTTAAATTTATATAGGTCTTTATTTTCCTATGTCTATGAAAAGTTACTAATTTAGGCTCAATCCATCCAATAACCAGGAATTTTTTAACAAATAGTTTAATTTTTAACTCTATTTAACAATATAGTTTATTTGTCTTCCTTACAATAACAGCATTGTTGTGCATGTATTTAGCTTTTTTTTTTAAAGAAATGTTGTAAAACCAGAGTTTTCTTGTTTTGACATGTTATTTGAAATATGTGGCTAAGAAATAACTAAATTTGACCTTTTTGCCAGAGATAGTCAAAATCTTTTCCTTTTCTGTTAGAAAAAACATCAATAGTGTTTAGCAAAGTAAATAAGTCTGAAATATTAAATAGCGTTAATAATAGTCTTAAAATGTGTTTATGAAACCTGCATAAACCCTGAATCAAATTGCAGGTGTGTGTTCCTGCATGGTTTTTTTCTCAGTATGATATAGTAAAATTGCTACAGCAAGAGTGACTTGTTTAAACATCTGTATTAAGAAAATGGCTTAATATAAAGCAATGCTTTACTGTCATTTTAAACATCATTAAATAAATAAAGAAATGAGCTATGGTAACTTTATTTAACCTTGGACCACTAATCTCGATCAAGTTTGGATTTTGGCCCTCAGTAAGAAAGTATGGGCAGTGCACTCCAGTTATAGATGGATGGATTGATAGATATGTGTGTGTATATACAGTAGTAACAATGTGAAGTGGATCAAAAAATATTTTCAAAGTTCACAAAAAAGTTTTAGACTTATTTTGGGGTCCACTTCAGATGTTGACTACTGTATATTTATGACTCAGTACTTTAATATTATGTGTATTTTAATTTGTCTTTACAGGTGTTCAGGAGAAGTTGGGTGTGATGAATAAGGGAATGGTGTACGCGCTGTGGAATTACGAGGCTCAAAGTGCAGATGAGCTTTCATTTCAGGAGGGAGATGCCATTACTGTCCTGCGGCGAAAAGATGACTCTGAGACAGACTGGTGGTGGAGTAAACTCAACGACAAAGAGGGCTATGTGCCACGCAACCTACTAGGGGTACGTTACACTTTAAATCAATTGTTTATATATTCATTCATTTTCTTTTCGGCTTAGGCCCTTTTAATAATCAGGGATCGCCACAGCGGAATGAACCGCCATGTTATCAAGCATTTTTTTATGCAGCGGATGCCCTTCCAGCCACAAAACAACACTGGGAAACCCATACACACTTAAACTATTGCATTAACACACACCGGCCAAATTAGTTTATTCAATTCACCTATAGCACATGTCTTTGGACTGTGGGGGAAACCGGAACAGCCGGAGGAACCCACGCGAACACTGGGAGAACATGCAAACTCCACACAGAAATGTCAACTGATCCAGCCAGGGCTCAAACCAGCGACTTTCTTACTGTGAGGCGATTGTGCTACTCACTGTGCCACCATGCTGCCCCTGTTTATATATATATCAAAACACAATTGATTACTGACATATTAATCATCTATAATTATAATCGCCATATCACAATCAATAAAATTATACATTTGTTTTCATCTCTCCATAGCTGTACCCAAGGATAAAGCCACGTCAGCGGTCTCTGGCGTAACCCTGGTTAACGACTGGACTTCATATATTGAGGTGTTCGGCCTCCGTCTTTCACCTCTATGTGCCACTTGGGTGACAGAAGGGGTGAAGCTGCTAAACCCTGAACCTGGAGGCACAACCGACCGCATTACCCACAAACACTCTCTCCAGCAAACAGCAGGCCAAACAAGCAGCCTCAGGTCTCTGGCTCTGACCCCGTCAGCCTCCGTGTCTCCCACTCCACTCCTCACGCTTTCTTATATCCATGTAAAGTGTATCATAGCTGTACATCATCCCTTGGGGATCAAGCACTAATCACTTTGACGAGAGCTTTCCTTTATTTCTACTTACCCATGATGCTTTGCTGAGGGGAACGGCTCTTTGTCGGGGAGAAAATTCAGTATACTTTGATTTGAACTGGATGAACTGATTTTATGTAAACAAAGGCCTTAAAGAGACAGTTTACCCAAAAAACAAAACCTTGTGTTTGTTTTAACTTTGCAAAATTCTTTCTGTGGTATTTTGAAGAACGTTGGAAATCCCAGCCATTGACTTCAGTAGTATTCTATGGATGCCAATGGGAAAGACTCAAACTTTCAGAACCACTTGAGAGAGAAAATGGTAAGTGACTTAATTTTAGGGTGAACTGTCCCTTTAAGTGACTCTTACAAACAAGTGTATAAACTGGAAGTATATGAGAGCAGAGAACAAAAGGATCCATAGTTTGTATAGAACAATTATTCTGATCTATGACTGACAAGTACCATACACGTACGGGCATGTATATGATTCATAAAGGTGTATATGAGCGAGCGTATGGGATTTCTGTATGTTACGAGTGTGATTTTTCCTTTTTTTTTTTCACTGCAGCGAGTGTCATACAGAAGTGTGAGGAGTTTTTTCACAGCATGAGTGTTTTGAAGAGAGTGTGTAGATGAAATCAGCAAGTATTTAGCCTGCAGAAACTGACACTGTACGTTATGGTCAGTTTGTTGGCTATGGTGAGTTTGACCAGACTGAAAGTTCTTTTGCATTTATTTTACACTTTATTTTGATTGTTGATTTATATTATACCAGCTCATTCCACTACACTCCTGTTTTTAGTCATGTGAGATGATTTTTATATTCTGCCGATGAGGCAGTGAAGAGCTTTATTGTGGAGTTCAACCTTGTAAATAAACTGATGAGAGAGGAGACGTGCTTGACTCAATGCTGTTAGACTAAACTGCCCGTGTGGGCCTCTGTGAAATACAGTACAGACTCGCACCTTGTGTTCAATACATGTGCACAATAAAATGAAATGAGTCGTTGCAGAAAATCATTTCCCCTTGTGCTTTCCTCGGTGTCTTTGTTTCTGCATGTGAACTACATTTCAACTTACTTTGACACTTTTAATGGCATAAAAAATGGCATTTTTGTCTTGCTGCACCCTGCGCCCTATTGACATCTTACTAAATTAATAAATTGGTCTAAATGATAAAAGTTATATAGCTAAAATGCTTCAAAACAACTCATTTTTTAGTAACATTATTCAGATAACACTGATTATCAGTGGTGGAAAAAGAGTGCTGAAAAATCATACTTTAAAAATCAGTAAAAGTACCATTACTTGCCTAAAAATGTAGTGCAGGAAGACTAAAAGTATCTGTTGTAAATATTACTTAAAGTATGAGTAAAAAGTAAACCTTTCAAACAAACTCGTGTAATGAGTAGTGAGTATTACACTGTGAAAAGCTAATGCATTTACATGTCATTTGCAAATGTGTGTAAACGTAACATTCTGTAGTGCATTTAGTTATTGCCCAGCAGGCACACAACATCATAAGACGTTATTATTAGGTTAGATATAGGTTGTGACGTTAGTTGACCAAAATTCAATGTCTGGCCAGCGTCTAAGGACAACATTATTTTGATGTCCTATAATGTTGATATTTAGTTGATTTTAGATTGTGATAGAAACTGAATATTGACGTCAAATACTGACATTTATTTGTCAGGTATGGCTGCATCCAAAATCCAATGTCTGATAGACGTCAAAGTGGTAACGTCCACACATTGTCAAGCTGTAACATCATTAGACGTTAGTATTTGGTTGATTTTTAGGTTGGCTGCTGGACATGACCTGACGTTGGGTTATGTGACATCAACCCAACTTTTATTTCCAAACAAAATGACGACGTTGGTGTACAACGTCAATCTGACTTCAAGTCAATGTCCTGTGCCTGCTGGGAGTTAAAGGCCATTTCAGTCATCGGACAGTAAACATCCATCATTTTCTCATCAGTGACATGCATCTAAACCAGGGGTGGGCAAACTCAGTCCTGGAGGGCCGCTGTCCTACACCGTTTAGCTCCAACTCTAATCAAACACCTGCCTATACATTTCTATTAATCCTGAAGACACTGATTAGCATGTGCAGGTGTGTTTGATTAGTGTTGAAGCTAAAGTCTGCAGGACACCAGCCCTACAGGACCGAGTTTGCCCACCCCTGAACAGGTCAATGCATGAAAAGATTTTGGACGTCTTCTCGGAAACTTTAATGCTTCCAAACAGTTTGCTCCAATTTTAAATTGCCCATGTCTTATGGTAGTTCATGCGATTTACCTTCTATGTTTGATTTGATTGGACGGGAATCACAGGACTGATTTTTCTAATCCCCATAGAGAGGAAAAAATTGTGACTGCAGGTTGAAGTAGTGGAGAAAAAGTATTAATACACCACTGAAAATGTAATCAAGGGAAAGTAAAAGTATTTTTAAAACAACTTAGTAAATTACACTTTCTGAGAATAACTACTCAATTACAGTAGTTTAATTGTAATTTGTTACTTTACACCACTGCAGATTAAAGAAATACAGTCAGTCGGATGAAACCACATGAGAAATTGCCCACACTATGCCCTATGAGTAGGTAGTCCCATTACATCATGTAACATCACAATAGCTAGTTAACAAACAAAAGTTCCATCAGGTTAGATAATACCCACAATAATGCTGCAATGTGATGACGCTAAATGAATTCCTCGTCTCACAAGAAGGTGGCGTGGTGCCTACGGCTGAAACGTCTTTCCGAATATTTTTATGTAGGTACAGCTTTTCTTGTTGATTGATTATTAAATAGTTACATCAAGGTTTATTTCTGCCCCCCTACATAACGGAGTTAAAGATTGATGTTCATTATTAAGACACTTATTCTCTTCTCTTGCAGAATTTGATCAAATGCGCATGTTTGCTCGGTCAATCAACTGATTCATTAACATTAATTTTCTAGGTAACTTCATTAGTTGGAAAGTGGTGGAAATAGTGGTCTTGACAATATATTTTAACTTTAAATATCGAAGTTTTCTGTTCACATTTCTATTTAATTAAGTATTTACAGACACTCCGGGGCAGAAAAAATCTTTCATTTGAGCAACAGCGTGACGCCATGTTTGTATTTTCGCGGTCAGGCTTATGCTGAAGCAAACGTAAGGTAAGTTGCATGAAATGATGTTCATCTTAGCAAACATTTATTTTAAAAAGAAATAAACCATTTCCTCATTATATACAAAAAAAAAATCGATTTAATCTGTAGGTAATGTTAAATATCTTAAAATATAACGTGCTAGGCAAAACGTTTTTTAAAAATATAAATATCAGCGTTACTGTTTTGTAGTAATAACATTATGAATTTTACCGCTAAATGCCTTATTTTTAAAAAGGGACAGGGGAAGAAGTCACTCGATGTGCTTGGCGCTGGGAGTTAGGCCGATCAGTCGTCTGATTTAACGTCACTGGAGAAGTTAATTTTTAATAAATAGCCGCTGTTTATTGATATTAAAGTGGGCTTAACCTTGTAGTACAAGTTGTAATATGGGATAAGAATTCGATTTCCTTCGTAAATGACAACGTTTAACAATTTCACAACGCATTCTTTAAATATGATTTCAGTACGTTAAGTAGTTTAGGACAAAAAAATAGAATATAAAGCTCTAATAACGATTAAGCAATGTAAAAAAAATAAATAAATAACATTCATTTGGTTGCATTTTCTATTATAGCCACTATGTGGCAGTAGACAATTGCTTAACAAAAAGGGCCTTACCTGCAATAGTACAAAAACAGTTGGTTCCTTCCTATACAAAAGCGAATTAGTGACCTCTCATATACAAAAATTACCTTTAGCACATTTATCCTACGTTTTGTAAACAAATTCAAACGTTTGAAAAAAAATCCCCAAAAAACATTAGTTAAAACTCCTGACCTGGCATTGGATTGTTCCAACTGGAGACAAAAACATCTTTAAGCAAGCATTGACACATGTACACAAGAAACTCCATGGGCCAAAGAGACTTTATTTCTGGTGTTAAGCTCCATCTTCAACATTGCAGGACGTTTGAGATACAAAATCCTTCACACTGATGGAAGACTGGTCTAACTTTAGTGCCACTACCGTTTGGGTGGAGTGTATGTTCCTTGATGTAGTTAAGATTATTGGTACTGGAGGAAGGGAGGACTGGTGGAGGCAGGGAAGGAGTTAAGTTAGGAGTCACGAAGTGTTCACTTCTGCTCAGGCATAAGGTCATCGATGGACTGGCCGGATTCCAGGCGTTTCTCCATCTCTACAAGCAGCTTAACTCCATCCACCACCATCTGAACCAGCTCAACCTCAGAGAAGCCCAGACGGTCTGCGTTGGAGATGTCAAACACACCACCTACTGCAGCAGTGTCAACTCCACCTGTTGAAGAGAGCAAGGTTAGTACTGGAGACCATTTGGTGTATAGGAGACAAAGCAGTTTAAAAGTGGAAAAAGTACCTGTTCCACGCTTTTGAAGCCGGAGTCGCTTAAGAATCTCACCAAACTTCTCATGCTTGCTTACGTTAGGGAGTTTGACATGAACGCCACCACGCAACCCTGTGCCCAGGTTGGAGGGGCAGGTTAAGACGTAGCCCAAGTGCTCGTTCCACATAAACTCATGGCCCTTCTCTTTAAACAGTTCCTCAATCTGCAACCACAAGTAAGAGGGTAAATTAAGAAATGCAGTGTATAGAAATGATTTAAAAGACAGATTATTTAAAAACAAACCTTTGTGAGGCCTGTGCAGAAGCGATTGAAGACTTCCCTCATGTTGCCACCTTTCTGCATGGAGATGACACGTAGATGGTCTTCCTCATTCACCCACACTAGGAATGTCTTATTGTCATTGTGCCTATGAAGCATTAAAAATAAATAAAAAATAATGTAGGAAGACCAACTAGAATTCAATGAGATGACCACTTTAAATAAAAATCGAATGGCAATGACGATTATTTTTATTATAATTTTAAATAAATTCTGTAAAACTATAATATAAACTTATATGCCAAAAGGCATCCATCTTGTAACTATATACAAATAAAAAAATAAATAATAATAATAATAATAATAATAATAATAATAATAATAAAAATAAATAAATAAAAAGCTAGCTACAAAGACGCGCTTACTCACCAGATCCCCCTGGCATCAGGCCAGTCACGGGCCATCCCAGAGGCCAGCAACAGTGGAGACACAGGCTTATCAAACAGGAAGTGGTCATCAATCAGCTGCTGCTGCTCCTCCTCCGTCATGTCCTTGAGGGCGTAGTACTTTCCTTTGAGATCACCATCAAGAGCCCCCAAAGCTGTGAAGTCAAAGGATAAGTCACAACCACCAAATCAACGGATACTTAAATCACATGGGTTTCTAACCACTCCTAAACCATTGCTCTCGACTTGACATGAAAACAAAAGCCTAAAGGAGCTCACCCTCGACAGACAGACTCTCGATACCGCGTCTCTCCCCACGGCTGCAATGAGGGGGGAGGCAGAAGCCGCGGATGCTCCTGCCGGTTCGTACTCTGGAGCTCAGAACGTAGTTGGGGTCAAGGTCATCTCCGCCCTATTAAAAGAAAACCAATGCCGCTAAATTAACCGCTGACTATTTTGAAACGTTAAACCCAATTAGATGCAGCAGACGGACAGACTCAATAGCATACCTTGAGGTTGTCTGGGTTCAGATCAGTCTTGTGCTTGTCTGTGGGTTTATATCCACCATGGCGGTCCTCAATGACGGGGTCCAGGAGCTCTTTAAACACATCGTATGTCTCCTCATCTCCGGCCACGCAGCCCACCGTCATGATGAAAGGATGTCCTGAAAGACAAAAATAAAAAACACAAGTCAGACAAAACCCCCAACTTTAGCGATTGAAAAACAAAAGAATTCTTTCAAATTTCTCATACGCTGATGGCAAACAGATTTTTCAGGGGCAAAAGCCTAATATAACCAAATCAAGCTTATCCTCGCATGGTTTGCCTTGCAGCA